TTCGACCCTGAGCTGCAATCCTGTTGAACGAGTTTTCCGACGTTTTCAGAAAATTCCAGGGATTCCTCCTGTTCGGCCAGTCGATCACACGATTCCTCTGACTCCTGGCGCAACTCCGGTGACTCGTCCGATGTACCGCCTGAGCCCTCTGGAACTCGACGAAGTCAAGCGCCAGGTTACTGACTTGCTGAAAAAGGGTATGATCCGCCCTAGCACTTCTCCCTATTCTGCGCCGATCCTGTTTGTCGGTAAGAAAGACGGTAGTCTACGCATGTGCATTGATTACCGGGGGTTGAACGCTACGACGGTTAAGAATCGTTACCCTCTCCCGCGCGTTGACGACCTGCTTGATAAGCTGCGCGGGTCAGCCTTCTTCAGCTCGATTGACCTCCAGCAAGGGTACAACCAGATTCGTATTTCCGAGTCCGATATTCCGAAAACCGCGTTCCGCACCCCGTTTGGTCACTTTGAGTACACGGTCATTAGTTTCGGCTTAACTAACGCTCCTGCTACTTTCCAAGCCGTTATGGACCGTCTTTTTCATCCTTTCATTGACAATTTTCTGATTGTTTATCTTGACGATCTTCTGGTCTTTTCTAAAACGCGCGAAGAGCACCTGCAGCACTTGCGTTCTGTCCTCCAGGTGTTGCGGCGTGAGAAACTATACGCGAAGCTCTCTAAGTGCCATTGGTCGCAACCCCAGGTGGAGTACCTTGGCCACATCGTCTCTGCCGACGGTGTTCGGATGGATCCCCGTAAAACTGCTGCTGTACGGGATTGGCCGGCGCCCACCTCTCTGCAGGAACTTCGTAAGTTCCTGGGGTTGACGAACTATTTTCGTAAGTTCATTGCGCGTTATTCCGTGATAGCTGCGCCGCTAACCAACCTGACTCGTAAGGGTGCGTTTTCGTCGCCATCCGCGTGGACAGCTGATTGCCAGCAGGCCTTCGATGCGTTAAAACGTGCGGTCGCCGACGACATTATCCTCCGTTTTCCCGATTACTCGTTGCCATTCCGTGTCGAGGTAGTGACTGACGCTTCTCTTTACGGATCCGGTGCTGTTCTGTTGCAGCAAGGCCGCCCCGTGGCTTTTACGAGTAGGAAGTTTTCGGGCGCTGAAACCCGTTACACCACCGGGGAACAGGAATTACTTGCCGTTTTACACGCTTTAAAAGAGTGGCGCTGCTACCTGGAAGGCAGGCCCTTTACGCTGAAAACTGACCATAAGCCCCTTACGTTTCTCCAAGGTGTGCCTTCGTTAAATCGTCGGCAGGCTAGATGGATGGAATATTTCGCGCGGTTTAACTTCGACTGGGAGTATCTGTCTGGCTCGTTGAATGTGGCTGACGCTCTTAGTCGGCATCCTTCGCTGCATTCCGCCATCCTGTCTGTTACAACTCGTCGCACCGCTTCCCTGGAGCGGTCGGTTTCGGCCTCCGATCTGTCTGCGCGTATTAAGGCTGCTATTGCTACGGACCCTTGGTTTACTGACGTTAATAACACGGGTCACCTCCTTTTGCAAGACGGTCTTTGGCTCCGCAGGGAAGGCTCTTATCGGCAAATCGTCGTCCCTAATGACGACTCCCTGCGTCGTGAGCTACTTTCCCGTTTCCACGACGGTCCGTTGGCGGGTCACCCTGGCTGCACACGGATGGTCGAAATTCTTCGGCGTTCTTTTTGGTGGCCACGGATGGCTAAGGATGCCGAGAATTACGTCCTCTCCTGTGATTCATGCCAGCGTAACAAGTCTATCTCTGGTAAGCCCCACGGATTGCTACAGCCTTTGCCTGTCCCTGCGGCCCCTTGGGAGAGTGTTTCCATGGACTTCGTTGTGGCGTTGCCTAAAACTGAGGGGGGGTATGACGCGGTGTTGGTCCTGGTCGACCGCCTGACGAAAATGGTTCACCTTGCACCCACCACGTCATCCTGCACCGCAGAGCACACTGCACGTTTATTTTTTGATAACGTTGTGCGTCTGCATGGTGTTCCCAAGTCTGTCGTTTCGGATCGTGGTGGCCAATTCACTAGTAAATTTTGGGACGCATTGGGGAAGTTGGTAGGTATGCGCATAAACCTTTCCACTGCCTACCACCCCCAGTCCGATGGCCAAACCGAGCGAACTAACCGGACTTTAGGTGATATGTTACGTAACTTCGCGGGTCGAACACCCTCTGTCTGGGATACCTGCTTGACGGCGGCCGAATTCGCGATTAATAATGCCGTTAGCCGCTCGACTGGTCAAAGCCCCTTTTTTCTAAATTACGGTTACAATCCTGTTCTGCCTGTTTTGCGCGAACTTGACGTAAACGTCCCCGCGGCTAAGACCTTTGCCAAGTCGTTTGTGTCCCGACTGACAGAGGCTAAGGCATGCCTTGACTCAGCCCAACAGCGCGCAGCGGACTACTACAACAAGTCCAAACGGGACGTCACCTTCACCAAGGGCCAACTGGTCATGCTAAGCACCAAGAACCTGCGTTCTCTGGCCGAAGGTTCCCGTAAGCTGTTGCCTCGCTGGGTTGGGCCTTACCCTGTTGTGCGCATGGTGGGTTCGGTTGCTGTACAACTTGAACTCCCTCCTGAAATGCGCGTCCACCCTACTTTTCACGTGTCCTTAGTACGTCCATATCGTGGGTCTGTGCCCATCCCTGAAGCGCCTGCGCCTCCTGCTGCTATAGAGGCCGCGCCTACTACTTGGTTGTCCGGTAGGCAAACCATGTATGCAGTGGAACGAATTTTGGACTATCGAACTCGACGCGTGGGTAAGGCTAGGCGCAAGCGCACGGTGCACGAATACTTAGTCAAATGGGCTGGGTATTCGTCCGAACACAACAGCTGGGAACCGGCGCGTAACTTCACCCCCGACCTCAAACCATTGCTCGATGCGGCTCGTCTTAGGGTGCAGTCCCAGGTGGTATCGCGTTAGTTAGTTTTACTAATCTTGTTTTGCATAGCGAGCCGTGTGCGACGGGGACGTCGCCTTTAGGGGGGGGGAATAGTTGTTGTATCCTGTAAAGGTTTCCCGCAACGGTTTGGGTGCCGAATCCTAACTGTCGGTGGTTAGCTCGTCCACTCCGATTTACCAAACTCCAATATTACTAACTAACTCCCGTCAATTCCGCGGTTGGTGATTACAGGTATTAACTAATACTGATATTAGTTTAATTGCGGCTACTGTTAGCTGCGGCGGCTAAGCGACTACTGTTAGTCGTCCGCCATCTAAATGCCGCACTGTTGCGGAAGTCCATGGGCGCCGGCGGATCAAACGACTACTGTTAGTCGTCCGCCATTCAAGTGCCGCACTGTTGCGGAAGTCCATAGGCGCCGGCGGGTAACACGACTACTGTTAGTCGTCCGCCATTCAAGTGCCGCACTGCTGCGGAAGTGTATGGGCGACGGCGGCTAAGCGACTACTGTTAGTCGTCCGCCACCTTAATGCCGCACCACTGCGGAAGTCCATACCTACGTATGGGCGGGGGTTTTACTTACGTAAAGCTGGGACCTGCGTCCCAGTTTCGTCTGACCGAGCGAGAGTAGTTCCTGCGAACTATGGCTTCTGGATTCGGTGCCGCCCAGTCGTACTGGGAATCCTTATCGGCGCGAGGCCCAAGTGGAGTCACTGATGACTACTTATTCAAGACACTTGTCTCAATCGGTATCTTTCGATGCCCCCATTATGTGGTTGTGTCGTCTGAAGACTACAACAGGCCACAAGGCGGGGGCGGCCGACCGACACCTCTCTCTTTCACCGTGAGGCGCTCTCCATCAGCGTCACGCCTACTGCTAGCTCTCCCAGCCGCGTGTTTAGGCGTCGACCTCCTCAGCGGTAGCAGCCGCTGGGAAGTCGGTTTGAGCGCCGCTGGCACACCCCTGTTTTCCCGTACGTGGAAGTGTCTGAAGCGCCGTAACAAGGCGGCGTTAGCTTTGTTCGTGCCGAGTGTGAGTTGCGTGTGCGGTCGGCCTGTAGGTCGCGGCAGACTGCGCCTCAGGCGCTTGACTGCGCTTTCGTGCGCCTTTTCCCTCGGTCATTGCCCTTGTTTTCATTCCCTGAGAGTGGGCGCGCTCCCTTGCAGTGTAAGGCCCAATCCCAGCCTGAGTGCCGTCCCGCCGTTTGCCCCTCGCTTCCCGGTTTTCGGAGCCAGCAACAGCAGCCGAGCCATACGCCAATTAAGGCTATAGTTCAGAACTGCTGTGTGGCGGTGTGTCCAAATGCACATACATCCTAGCTACACGCGCAGAACTAGCCACACACTCGCTTCTATGCATGCAGCACGGCAGTATGTACATTTAACTTCGGAAGCCCCACAGAAAGTAAGTTAATTCATGATAGACTTACTGCTAACAGTAGGGGTGTCGTCCACATAGTCGCCGTCCGTGCATTTTGGTGCATTGTATGTCGTTGGTTTCTGAAAGGTATGATATAGTCCGAGGAAATGGAGGACCTCGTGCAGGAGGGCCTGAGAGCCACTGTGGTATGTTTCGGGAGTTCCCCGCAAGAACTCGTCCCAGGATATGAAGACAATGGCCAATTGTGGACTTATGTCCGACCTGTATGTAAGTGTCAGATGCATGGACTGGGGTGTGAGCGTAACAGTGAGATAGGTAGGTATATATGACCCATGCACATATGATTTACCATGTATGATGTGTGAAACAGGGGGGTTTATCTTCGCCCGTGGCAGCAACCCTGCGAAACCCTGCCTTCCCCGGCATTTCGGGGCACCCTCATCCAGTCACCCTAGTCAACTTCTCAGTGGATCGCTCAAGTTCCGCACCCACCACCAGCATCCATCGGAATCTGCCGGGTCGACAGCGGCACAACTCCATTCCTGGTCGGCTCGCGGGTTAACTTTATACCAGGTCACCACCGTCCGTCAACTAGGGGCGCAATGCCTTCCACCATCGGAAGGACCTTAGACCCTAACGGGTATCGATCCCGGGATCTCCCGGGGGCAATGGTCGCGTCTTACCAGTGGTGCCAAACCCTTATATACATGATAAATCATAGACAGACAGAGAAACGCAATCATGCGACTGTAATGAATAGGGTGCAGCTTTTGCCCTAACCATGTTTAGATAACATGTAAACATGTTCAGTCAATTTAGTAACTCCGATGCACCTGGAAGTTCCAGGATCGAGATCTGTCAAGGTTGAATATCACTTCAATGGTGGAAGGTATGAGTGCCCTAAATCAAAAAACGGTGGAGACCTGCGAGCTGACCAGGAGTGGAGTTGAGCCGCCGTTTTTGAGAGATACAATTAGAAGTCGACTAGAGTGGCTGGACGAGGGTACCCCGAAATACCGGGGGAAGGCAGGTTTCGCCTGGTAGCGACTACGGGCACAGGCTGACGTAGCCGCAGCGTAAACGGCCCCGACAGTTCTTTTCAAAAGGGGGGAAATTTAATAGCTGTCTATAGTACGGTCTAGTCTGGTGGCCCCATGTGAGTATGAAGGTTTCGGGTTCGGTTCATTTAGACCCCCGATATTGTTCGGGAAGTCTAAACGTACCAACGCTGCTGAGGTGTAGAGATGAGGTCTAGTTGATGGCCTGAGTTTCGCATGCTGAGATGGTGGTGATGGCTGATCTGTCTCTACGGATGTCGAGTGACTGGATGAGGAGGGGTCTAGTTGGCAGGACCCAAACCGCCGTCGGTTGTACGGTATAATCAACGATGACCCCCCTGTCCCACACATCAAACTACTTCATAGATATCGTGTCGGACGACCAGGTCTACCATGACGATCATTTATTTGCTCGTATAATGTGACAAAGTTGTAGCTGTGATTGACTGGGAAGCAAGACCCTGCGCCTGAAAAACGTAATGACGGCTAGGAGGACGTGAGCTGCGATATGTCGTGAGGTAGACGGATCACCCACTTTCAATATATAAAGTCCATAGCCTCCCGGCTTTGACGGACCCCCCCGCACTCGTGCGGCACTTGTAACTTGTGACTATACTACGTATGGCACACATATCATCTGTAAGTACGCGCTAAGGCGCTTCACCAGCATCATGAGAGGCCTTTTCAGCGGCCAGCTACTACAGGCAGTCACGTATTCCTGGTATGCTTATCCTGGGTGCTAATCACGTGGGCTTCCTTGCCTATTGACATGGAGATATTATTAAACGACGGCAACCCTGAGAAAACTGGCCTTACCCTGGCAAGCCTGCAGATAGACCGACATAAGAAACTCCAGATGCCGTCGTATCTGATAGCACAAAGATGTTGACTGAGCGCGGAAAGTCAGAAAAGGCCCTGCATCCGGCAGCAACATGAAGGACAAGTCGGGTGTCGGCTTTCTCGAAGCCGGAAAAAGGGCGGGGGCCCCCTGCATCCGGCAGCAACATTGAGGAAGAGCGCTCTGATTTCAACGAATAACGCCAAGACTAATACCATGAATAATAGACAGTCCATGAGCATGCGCGATGATTAGGCAAGCAGATATGAGTGTGTGTGCATGTATAGTAGCCATCGCACGTTATGGCACATACACCATCAACGCATATACGTACAGGCTAAAGCACTGGATGCCGCTGGTGGGTGCTGAACCTGACCGATCCATTGAGAAGTCGGCTAGGGTGCACCCTAGTCACGTGACTGGATGAGGGTGCCCCGGAATACCGGGGAAGGCAGGGTTTTGCCGGGTCGTGGCCACGGGTGAAGATATGACACCCTGTCCCATACATCGCACATCACACAGTCTTACGCGGATATCTAGCACTTCGAGATCGTAGCGGCCGGATATTCATAGTAACATCAAACCATAATGACATGCGCCAATGTAAATTGCTTAAGCAAGCATAGAATGGTTTTATACGTCTGTAAATTCTAATCTGCTACTTTCTTATGTATATGTTATCATCTGCCGTCAGTAAAAACTTCCCTCACCTATAGGCGACGCCCTCGTAGGGTCCCTACCTAATATACGAGGGCGTCGCCTATGGGTGATCGAATTTTTTTACTGACGGCTGTAGGTCGTGCCCTGGTATATTCATTTACTATATACCTTAGTAAGGACGGTCCTGAGCGCAAGCAGTAGAGAATTCACATATTTCGCAGACGTTTCCTCTCGTTAGGTTACTAGTTACATGCCTCATACCTCATGGCGAAAGCGGATGATAATAAGCAGGCCCTCTGGCTTTTGCAATCAGGCATAGAAAGCCAGTCATTTCGATTTTGAAGCAGTAGGTATGGATATGCAGTTGAGTTGCACCGTACCTCCTGCGTAAACAGACCAAAGACAGGCAATACAGTTACACGATAACGATCACGCACTAGACATATGCGTAAGCTTGTTCCTAACCTTAGAAGGAAAATCCTTCTCATATCATTTCTACTTAGAAGTAAATTAGAATATGAGAATGAGAATTACTTTGCTATCCTTTCACCCAGCGCGAAGAATTAACTGAAAATTTGTGGGCATGGCGGCTCATGGTTATCCAGGCGTTTCCAATTTTTTTTAGGCCGAAAGTCGATGGCGGGGGTCGTAACCCAGAAGGGTGTACCTCTTGGCCTTATATACCCCCCTTAGAATGCAAAGCTAACCTTGCCAAGTGTTGTTATTTCCAGCCAGTTGCATGGGGCAATGCAGTCACTGTCTGGGAACCCCACCCTGCCTCACGGAACCGAAAGGCCTGTATGAACGTGCCGTCACTATAGTGGAAGGCACGCAGTCCCACCAACCATTCCATTCATGTACTCAGGGGTACGCAACGGCCCCCAGGCCCGAACGGAGGGCGCCAGACGGATACAGACACCAGTACGCTATATTCAAACCCAACAATCTGCGTCAGGAACCTCAATAGAACGAGAGTCCCAAGTACTCAGGGGTACGCAACGGCCCCAGGCTCGGCTTCACAGTCTCAGTCCTCTCCGAGCAGGTCCATCACAATCTCTTTGAGATCATTAGCGTAGGCAGGGGCGTCTAAATTCTTGTCACCAGACTTGTAAACTTCAATGTTGTCGGGCTGATGGTCAGGTTGCTTTGTGTCAGGCTTGTCCGCTTGATCTGCCATAGCTGACCCAGAGTAACATCTATAGGTAAGGTACTAATGTGCAAGTATTATAATGCACAAGCCTCTGTTTTTGGCGATTCTAATGCAGGATCCAGGCTGTCGTACAGCTTTCTCATTCTAATCCCAGAAGCAGGCCCTTCTCATTTCTAGGGTGATTTCTCATTAGAATTATTCTACGTTAGAATTCTATTTCTAATGGTCGGCGCAACCCTACATATGCGTGTGGTTATTAGTTGTTTGGCCTGCTGGGTCGATGTCAATTAGAAACTGTATAAAGATATATTTTATATCAAATATTATATGAAGATTTTGTATTATGTATGTAGCATCCATGTGTTTACACCCCTGTGTAGCACCTCCGGTGCCCACTTTGACTTATGTATATGTATTATGATCAGGATAGGTGCTTCTATATGTCAGGGACATTCACGCAAACAGGCAGGGATAGCAAACTGTCAAACCTTGATAAAGAAGGAGATCTCAGCTGGCTTGCCCATGTAGTTTGCAACCTGGACAAGGCGCGCTGCATAAGTAGGGGAAAGCTCGTAATTGGCTGGGCCAATACCCCTGCCACCAGCATCAACGTACTGCATTATATGGAACACTATCGGAATAAGTAATCTTGGGTTGGCTGAGGGCGGTTTGATGCTGAAGTTGCCTGGCGGCATTGAGTAAATGAATGTAGACGGCACGGCAGTACTTGTTAGCTGACGGCGACGGTAGGCTTTTGCAATACTTTCAATACCGCTGTCATCGTTTCCCTTGGGATCATCACTGCCTGATGTATGGCTTCCCAGCCGGCCACGGAATGCGACACCAGAATAAGAACCAGAGTGGGTTAGGGCACGGAAAGTGGTGCCTCGCCGCAGATGCACTTTCACTCGCTGATGTGTTATGCCAGCAGCATCCACGTCCTCATCAAGGATGGCACGACGTTGTTGGATGCTGTCGCCAAAAGTGCTGGCGAGGTTATCATCCGTTGCTGCTGTAGCTGCAGCAGGTTGGATTCCCACTGCAGATTGTGCCAGCGGCATACCCAAGACAGCACCTACACGCTGTAGTTGAGCAAGGTCAGCATGGAGCTGCATCAAGACTGAGGATATGTTTGGCACCAACGCAGCAAACTCGGTTATACTCAGGCCGCAGGGCCCTGATATGGTCGCGGCGGCGTCGGCCAGCTGGTCGCCCCCACTACCCCTCAGCAGCAGCGCATCGCTAACTGCTGCAGTGAAGTCAGCTTCAGAGAGAGCAGTTAGGTCGGGCCAGGCGGCTGTGGCCTGTGGCTGTCCTGGCACCTCTTGCAGCAGCAGCGGGATGTTGTCGCGGACCCAATCGAAGATGTTGATCAAAGCCTTGAACATGCGATAGTGGCAGGCCTGCAAAGGTGTAAATGTAAAGGCACGCACCACTCCATTCATCATGATCATCATCTAGCAGGCATAATGCACAGCGCCGACTTGTGCGGTCAATTTGCGGGCAGGGTCACAGGGAGCACGCATAAGATCTAGCTATATATTTCGCTGAACGACCTGGTGTAGTAGCTGATACACAGTACGGCACACCTAACGTCTACAAATACGTACTAAGCGCTCCACCGGCATCTCAAGAGGCCCTTTCAGCGGCCAGCTACTACAATGGGTATCGAGACCTCGTTCATGTTTACAATCCTGAAGCCATCACTTCGACCCCGATCATCCGCACATGTTGGAAATCGGGTTAGACGACTAATTGCACGAGTACCGTGGACAAAATGTAGCTGCGATTGACTGGAATGTCGCTGTGACTGAAAAATCTAAAGTCGTCTGGCCGCATCTGAGGGCGTGAATTGACGTGACGTGGATTGACCACCCACTGCCCGAGGGTAGACGAAGGTAGGCACAGGCACGTATGTGGCCGTTGAGACAGATCCCTTCAAAGGGGCAGGAATGTAGTAGCTGATACACAGTACGGCACACATAACGTCTACAAATACGCGCTTAGCGCTCCACCGGTGTCTCGAGAAGCCTTTTCAGCGGCCAGCTACTGCACCTGGTGGTGATTTCCAACCAGCTGATCGGTGTCACTTCCTACTACTTACTAGGCTAGGACCGTTCCGCTTGCTGTTAGTATACTCATGCACGCACCTGCAATTCCAACACGCCATAAAGGCTCCTTGACAAGTAGAACAGCTGCTCCACCAGCTTCGAGTTCCAGACCCCGGCCTTTGAGGCGTACGCCCGCAAGACATCGGGGCTCAGGTACATCAGAAGTGCGCTGGATGAGCCTGCACGGGATTTATTTTACAAAGATCCAGAGCAAAGCTTATTTCTAGCGCGAGATGATAACAAATAGCAAAAATCAAATTTCTTGTGGGAACACCTCCATATCTCAGGAAGCACCAGTGATATTTATTCCTACGTAAGGGATGTGCGTGCATGCATTCCCATCTTCTCATCACCCCTTCTCAGCTGCCTCATCCATGTCTCTCATATCGCTAAATAAATTTGCTTGAAGGCAGCGTACACTTCTAAGGAGGCTCCGGAAGAAGGGATTTTGATGATGAGATCAATTAAAAGTGAACATCCTGTCTGGAATTGCCTGTGGATGGACTGCTTCCTCCATTCACTATTTGCATCACAGCCAAGTGTTAATAAAGGAATATTTGGCCGTGGTGTTTCCTGCAGCTTTACTGAGGCCGTAGTGGGCTTCCTCGTGGAGGCCCCATGCAGTGGTTTCTCACGATAGATTCTGGTGGAGCGCCTTAGCGTGTGTTTATCGGCGATATGTGTGCCGTATCGCTATTACACATGGTGAGTCAGCAGGGATGACATCGAGGCGCCTGACATTGCAGTTACGTAATCTTATTGTGTTTATGTTGACTCTTTCGAAACAGCTGAAAGGGCTGACACTGCACAGAGACTTGGCCAGTATTATGTATCGCGACTTGTTAAGCACGCACTGCTGCCATGCATGACACACGTTGCGAATACATGGACGCACTAAAGCGCAGCATATCGACAGGCATTTTCAGCAGCCAGCTACTGCAGAGCGAAGCAACCTGGCGATGCTGAGAACGCTGAGGCGGCGGTTGCAACATATTTATGATGTGTGGGACAGGGGGGCACATCTTCACCCGTGGCCGCTACCCTGCGAAAACCTGCCTTCCCCGGTATTTCGGGACACCTTCATCCAGTCACCCGAGCCAACCTCTCAGTGGATCGCTCAGGTTCAGCACCCACCACCGGCATCCATATTTATGTTGTTACAGGGTGGTTAACTTCGCCAGCGGCCCCCTTTCCCGGGGCAGTCCCTGCTCTCCCCTGCTAGAGGGGCACCCTAATCCGTCACCCCATCCGACTTCAGAATGTATTCGTTGAGTTCGGCAACTCACCACCAGCATCCAACCAAATCTAGCGGATCAACGGCGCATCAACTTAGTTCCTGGTCAGCTCGCAAGTTGATATTATCACGTCCTACACCGTCCATAAGATGGGGGGCCACCTCCCATTTCATCACTCCTCAAACACCCGAGGAGCCGGCAGGCGGATTTGAACCCGGGTCGACTGGGTCAACTGGGAGCAGAAGTCAGGCCTTAACCTCTGCCAGCCGCCTGCCTTTATGTATGCATGCATACACGCATCTCCAGGGTTGGCTGAGTTGTCTCACTGCTTAGCTGTTTAGGAGATAAACTCGGGTTAGCCATTATCAGCCTGGAACTACTCCTAAGGATCCCGAACAGTCAGGGCGCGTGCTTGAGAGCTGTAGCGCACTCTAATGAGATGTCGCCAGCAGCCGCGCATACAGACATCAGGAAGCATTCCCCGTGCATGCATGCATGCATGCGTGCATATAGACCACTCAGATGGGAGGCTGGCAACTACATGTATGGCTGTTGGGGGAAAGCTACCTAGGCTCCGCAACGAGCAGCAGCACGTGTATGTATGTATCTATCTGCCAAACCTGAAAGATCTGGCTAAGCTCTGGCTCTGCCTGGTGGCTGCCCGCTTCAGTAAATCTCCAGCAGGTGCATTTTGGGCGGGGCCCCAGCGCGAAGCGCCCAGGGGGGGGCCCTGTAGGATTGCCCATGTCCGTGTGGCCGCGTGGCCGTGTGTGTGTAACGGACCAAACATAAGATCTCGCCCGGCTGAAACGCGTTATTGATAATATACTGCATTCTCTATTGCAAGGTATCTCGCCTGTAGCCAACAAAAATCGTATGAGCACAAACAAGTTTGGCTGCCTCCATTAACTGAGGCCAAAGTCACATCAGCGCCCCTGGGGCTAAGTTTAATCTCAAAAGGTGCCGCGTATCTCATAATGGAATTCTGAGATGGCGGCGTATGAGAACTCGAATACCCAGCTTCCGTTACCATTTGCCCGCACGGGCATTCCGACTTTCCAACAGCAGGCCGACAAATTTGCTTTCATTACTCTATGAAGTACGAAAGCTGCTCGTTTGTACAATTACTTTGGCCAATGATCGGGGCCTCCAAAGACTTGCAGTGTGCCGCGATTAAGCTCGCAGCTGTGGGGCGGATTCTGAAGCCGCTGGCACTTCGGGGATAAACATCACAGACAGCACCGGAAAGTACTGAGGGCTTTGGGGAAGTGTGTTGAGCTAGGCTTTTAGGGGGGCGCCAAGGGCGCGTGACTCTTAGCCGTGTCTGCTAGGTTCCAGGGAGACACCGTCTCTTCAACAGGTTATCAGCCCCGGCTTCCTGCCTCCCGCACTCTGACCTCCCATACCTCCCACAACATCAGCACTGCTGCAACAAGCACAGCTCCCACCCACCCACCCACCCACCCACCACGTAAACACTACCCATCAATTGTCACATGTGCCATCCTAGCTACCGGCCTGTACGGATGCAGGGGGCCCCGCTCTTTTTCCGGCTTCGAGGAAGCCGACACAGCTTGTTCATTTAGCAGTCACTATGATATACGATACACCTGACTGCCTTATCCACGAAGTACGTGGAACAATAGCATGATTGATGCTAACCGTCCACAGGATGAACATCATGATCAACATTAGTGAACCCACCAGGAGATTCTGCCAGGGGCTTTGCTGCACAGAACAGGGGGTAGGCAATGTACGATACAATTGTAGCCTGATTGTACAGTTGATGTACTTCCTTGCTGCTAGCGGTCTTAGTGTTTCGGATTACCAGGAAGGGCTCCATTGCTGCCGTCCGAGCCTCTGTGGTGGCGTGTTAAACGGAAGAAGTTCAAGGCAATGGGGGAATGGGGGATACGGCAATGGGGTAAGAGACTAGCGCGGGTGGAAATAAGTATGGGAGCTTCAGGCGATAGGTAGGATAGGCGGGAGCAAAACACTTGCGGGAGCTCGACAGGGTAGTCCCGCTCCTGCTCAATTGTTTTTGAGAGTAACTATCAAGTAACGGCCATGCAAGTTCCTTGATGCCTTTGCGCGATTACAGACACTGCTATTAGCATTTGGAGCTTCAAAGGTATTGTATTGTATTGCTAAATCCGCAGCGATATACTTAAAATGAAGGTTGGCTGAGTGCGTGTCCGTCATATTTGACATCAGCAGCGCGTTATTATTCGAGCAACAGGGACTGGGAACAAACTTGCTTGTGCTCTTCAACCCAGCGACAGCACCCTTTCTTTTTTCGACGTTCCGATAGTATAATCGTCTCGATTTTCTCTCGTATTGGCGTGACAAGCACTGAAGGTCGAGTGAAACGATGTCGGCGAGGCGCACTCGCGCTACTTACGTATAGGACTGTAAGCAAGTCAGATGCAGTATGCGACGCGCACATCCGATTATAACCATAAGCCATTACCGTTCCCTCAAAACGTTGATATCAGCTGTAGATGTTTTATTCATTACCTTTTGAGGCCCCTCCGTTGTTGTCGCCTACAACATTCCGAAGCCGGCGGGTGGCGTGCTGCTCCATGCAACCGACAGCAGGCAGAATCGCTGCTAGCAAAAACAGAATTCCGTGTGCAAGCTGACGTTTTCGAACGACGGCGCCGGACTTCAGAATTTCCATTCTGCTCAGCACCAGCAGTGGGCTGAACCCAACTGTGAGCAGCTGGTTAAACTCCAAGTCAATTTTCTATGCAACGGAGGCAAACATACAGTGCTAAATGAAAGAGGCCTGAAAATTGTTTCCGGAGGGCCACGTAATATGCCGGTGCGGAAACAACTGTATGGTTTCCCTAACGTCTTTCATATTATCGGTTGAGGTCCATTTATTAATGCGACAGAAGCTACAGGTAAGTGATACGACATCAACGCTTAATTGAACTTCTTACGCCTGCCGGCTGCTTATGGCTGCAGCCATAAGCCCCTTGCACGGACTAGGTTAGCACCTATCAGTTCACCGTCGGGGCTAAGGATGGCCCGAGGCAGTGTGGTTGTTACAGTGGGCTCAGACTCACAAAGAATAGAGCTAGCGGGCCAGCTGACCGTGCACAAATCAGGCAACGCAAGTCAGCAAGACAGCCAAAAGCAAATCCAAAGGGAAGGCTTAGAACCCGCAACCACTGGGAAATCTGCCATTAGACTCCCCAAGTGGCGAATGTCTCGGAACCACCAGAAGGACCATCAGCAAATACTGATACGAACTTGCATGTCGTTACTAGATGAGGCCTGAGCGAGCTCGTGCGTATGACAAGCTACATTGCATTGCTCTGACTGACGACATTTAGACCGCAAGCCACTTCAGACATATTTGCGTTTGCAATCGGCAGACACGGAAGCCACAAATGTGCAGTGATTACTCCCTACAGGCGTGAATCACGTATGTATTCCCGTAAAAAGGTGAACGAGATTTTGCGCGTTCCTTGCGAGTTGCGAGTTGCGACTCTAGCCGTACTTAAGAGTGCACTTCGCCTCGCACCCGCAATTTGTTTTGCAACCAGCCATAATAATACAATAGCAGCTGCTGCTGCAAAAGGCTGGCTAAATAATTAAAGGTATGTCATTACGCCGTTTCGTGGAATATATGCTGGAACAGTCGATTTCTTCTACTCATGTCGTCGCCATACTAACTGGTGGCACTATTGCCTTGTAGATTATTGAGGCTAGCGCCTTGCTTGCTTGCAGGACAAAGCAACGGAAAGATCGGTATTGCCCTTTCCAAAATCTGTCGATCTATCCACCGTCCACATTGCAAACACCGACGATGCGATACAAAGATGCCGCCCATCATGCAAGGATGCAGCCAGGGTCAACCCCTGCCAGGCCAGAGACCAACTGCTGCACGCACCGGCCCCCACTTCGCATCTAACTGCATTGCATCCCTTCGAAACAAGCAAAGGTGTCTACTGCATGTAATAAAGAAACAAGCACCTAACCTTAAGGCTGACCGGCCACATGTGAATTTAGTAACGATAGTGAGGATACAAGCTTCTGACATAGGAGGATAGAAGAAAGGGCCATAGATAATGTAGTACGCAGCATTTCCCTTAGTATAATTCAACGATTATTATTATTAATAACTGTTACATAACTTCGTTGATGATTCTAACATAAGTTTCGTACATGTCACGGAACATCGTACATGTACATGTCACAAAGACTACTAATGTTCGTAGAGAACCTAACGGGCTGGGGCCCCGCGGGGCCCGGCCGGGCCCCATCGACATTGCTTAAACGTCATCGCGTGATCCGTACTCACTACTAACTTATTGTGGGGAAGGCCATTGCGTCTGCGACCACACTCCCGCGGTACCCAAACCCTTCAAAGACAATTCCGATCAGCCATTTGGCTGTTAGTGGGAGGGCGGGTGGGCCGCTCGCACGGCAATCGAGTAGAGAGTACGAAAATAACCTAATGCAGTCATCGACAGCAGAAAACGTAAGCCTCCAGCCTCATGCCGACTCTCTTACCTACCATTCATATTCTCTACCTCGTTCCCAAGACTCCGCCGCGTTGCCTCTAGTTCGGCTCGTGCCACAGGTAACTTCGCTCGTCGCTACTTTGCCATTCACCTTCGCCTCCACCCAGCCTCTGCTTCTCCACAGAAGCGGCGACCTCCTTCGCCGTTGTTACGCCTCGTCTATGCGAATCCTCCTCATCCGACTGTGTCTTCTGCCTACCCGGT